TGCCAAATCCTTCCAATGATCAGGTATAGGCCCTCCTGCAGACATACACTTCCTGTACCTCTACCCACTAATGATCAGAGGCCACTGTTATTGAGTCCTATTTCAGGATCTTGGTTTCCTTCCTGCTCAGTGGATGTGAGGATTGCTGGAGCTAGTGCTTTTCTCTATTTAAATCTACCTTTTGTTATGCTGAACTTGCTTTATACTAGAGTGTCTACACAGTTTCTTTGCCACTTGATAGAGACTTTATGAAGTTGCTTTCCTGAGCTCCTTACCACAGGTCTTTACTAGCTTTGTCTCAAGATAACCACACTGTGCCAGGCTGGCTAGCAAGTCACTGCTCTGTATCTTTCCTCATTTGTTGCTTTCATTCAGTTTCTTTTTTCAATGTCCTAATTCTCTATCTTCCTACTGATGCTCAGAGTTCTAGGACTGTCAAAGATTATTTCACTGGGTTTCTTGAGTCTTTGCTGTAAAGAAAAAGCACTGTATATATAAGATGCCACCTCAAATCTTGACTATTAAAGTTATGTTAATATATGATCTCGAAGCTACTTATCAAAAATTATGGTGAAACTATAATGTATTAATAAGTTTTTAATCTGTTAACTCTCTCAATGGTCTATGTACCACAGCAGTAACAAAATTTAAAATGTTAATTGGTTTTCAGGAGAAGTGTTTTATAAGTGTTTCTGGTGACACAGTGCATTATGTGTTGGGTTGGTAACAAAAATGTCACCGGTTTAAGTCCATTAGCGAGCTACTCTTCAGGAAAAAAAGATGAGAAAATCTCCTGCTCTAACATTTACAGTCTTGGAAATCTGATGACCTATCATTATGAATTGGAACTGTCTCAAGGGTAGTGGGTTTAGTTTTGGGGTTTGCCCCTCTAGTGTACTTTATAACAACCTTACTCAATATGTGTATTAGTGATAGCTGTACAAAATTATTGACGGAATCAGTTTTACTGAGCTGAAAAAAAAATTAACTGGCAATATTGTATATTTTTACAATTATAAAAAAGATAAAACTTTTTTTTTAAAAAAAGTCAATAATTTAAAATTTTTAAAGTATATGCATTAGGAAGCTCTGGTGGCCCAGTGGCAAGAACCAGCGCTGTAATCCTGAAGACCCGCAGTTCAAGGCCACCAGCTGCTCTGCAGGAGAAGGATGGGCAATCTCATCCCGTTTGATTAACTGCCTCTGAAAACCCATCAGACAGTCAACTACAGGTTGGTTCCAACTCTATGGTACACAACAACATTCATTTTACCGTTTTTCAACCCCATCTTCATCCACTGCCTCGAAGACAAAGTTCAAATTTCTTAGCCTTATACCTCCTGCATTCTTGGTGCCTGCAATACCTTCTTTCCATCTCTACTTCCCATTACTTCTCTTACATCTTCTGATTCAGCTCTGGTGTCCTAGTGATAAGTAGCTTTGCAGCCAAACCAAAGGCATGCAGTTCAAATTCACCACTGGTAGATGTGCAATTTCCTAACTAGCTATTTCCTCCCTCTAAAAACCTGCTGGAGGGTCAGCTATCAGTTGGTTCTGACTCCAGAGTACACAATTAATAGCAACCATAGTTGTTACTATAATTGCAATTGTCATACACTGTAGAGTCACTTATAGCTGATCCTCCAGTGGTTTTATGCTTTATCCAAATTATCACTACTGAGGACAACTGATATAAAACAATGACAACAGTAGACAAAGACCCTCCCAACACTCCTTACCACCACACCTCTTTATTTCCTTTACCATCACCCATTCAATTCTTACTCATAGTGATTGACCCTCTGCTGGTTTCTTAGGCTATCAATCTTAATCGAGTAAGACTGGTCATCCCTCTACTGTCGTCAGCGAAAGCCCTGCTTTGGCCAGTAGCACAATACCGCTGGACTATGGCACCTGAGTATTTTACACTTTCCTTTAAAAATAGCTAAGTAAATGTCACTAAAAAGTACTTGATACACAAGTAGTATGTAATCTTTGGAGGGAAACCTTTTTAAAAAGATAAGACTGACAATGACTGTAATAATGGAGCTGAGCATATCAGAGATGGTGAAGGGAGCACAGATAAGCCAAGATTCAGATCTGTTGTTCACAAGGTCCCTGAGTCTTGGTCAACGCAGTGGACCTAACAACAACAGCATGTCTAAAGAGAAAATTTTAAATTATTTTGTTTGGGCTCTTAAATCTCAGACACTAAATATTTATAAACAAAAAATAAAAAAATTAATGGCATGCTCATGCAAATACTTTATTCTAATATAAGTGTTTTAATTTTGGTGATCTCTTAAGCACATTAATTCCCTGCATCTCAAAAAATGAGAGCATAAACAAAATCATCCTGTCAATCAGAGATGGCAATAATGTAAACTTGAAGTAATACAATTCTTACAGATAAATATCATATCTTACAAAACAATCATGAAGAGGCTCACAAGATATTATTAGTTATCCCAGCTATAGAGGGGCCGCAAACTAGGTCTTCTACTCTACTTCATACTCCCTAGATGGACCCACTGTTGTCTTGAGTGTTTCTCTTAATAATTTTTCCTGTTTTTAACTATAAAAAACACCCAAATGAAACAAAACTTGCTAATTTTCTAATTAAGTATGCATCTACCATTTATCCAAAAATTCACAATTAGTTCAAGTGAAAATTTAAAACAGGTGTATTATCTTGACTTAGTTGTTATACAAGAAGAATATTTTTGGCACCAAGGGAAGAAGGTACTGTATGACAATAGATTTTTCACTCATTTGTCATGTTTAACTGATCTTAATTATAAACAAATCTTTAAGACTAGCTAAACCTTTAGCAAATAATTACTAATAATAGGCTCTTACAATATTTTGGAAGTATTAGTACCCATTAAAACTGGGCAAAATTTACCATAAACAACTAATTTTGCTCCCAATCCCAATTAGACACTTGAAAAACAAAACAAAAACCTTGTATTAGGTAGGACTATTCATTTAGTATCTAATAGTCTTTTAAATCACAACCAAAAAGAGAAATTGTCTGAATCCCTTACTTTCAAAGTAGTTAAATGACTTTGTAAATGACTAATCACATCTATTTGGTACTATTTCCTAGTTGATCACATGTTTATTTATACACTATTCAGAAATTAGTCCCCTCAGAAAATCACCATAAATAGAAAAATGACCTACCAGTGATTTTAATAATTTAAATGGACTATATTTATCAGAATACACTCCTCTGATTAAGTCTGTTCCGTAAAAAACTAGCCAAATGAAAGTTCAAAAGTTTTTCTTTCCCTGTACAGAGAAACCTAAAATAGTTACTTGAATATTATCTGAAAAAATTCACTTGATCCTGATAAATTACAATGTATTTCAGCTCTTCTGAAATGATGCTGTATATTAAATGACTCAGGAAGTTGAGGTGAATTTTTAAGATATATTAGACTTATATCAAAGATCATCATCATACTGAGACTTGGGAGTAGACCAATGACAGACTTTGAAAAGTCAAACTGGTTCTCTCTTCAAATAGATTGTTTTTTCTTAAAAGAGATACTAAGAAAAGTAGTACAAAATACAAAACTTGCTTGCATTATTTGCAGAATATTATCTAAAGGTCTTTAAGCAAACAGATAATCAAGGCGAATAAATGTACTGTGGTATTAGGAAAAGCTTGTATTATCTTGCAATTCTGTTGTTACTGAATCTATCTTCTATATCCCTAAAGAGAATACAGTAGAGAATGCAGTCTCTCTCAATCTGTCACCAATCTATTTCTATAGAGAATGTCTCTTCCAAATGAAGAGACAAAAGGAGGCAGGGGCCTGACCAAACAAAAGAAAAAGAAGGTAAAGGCTAAATGTGAACACATCAAATGGAGACGTTTTAGAAATAAACTCATTTCCACTTTAAGAAAGCGGGGTACAGAGGGTGATCATCCTTGCCATAAAGTGCAAAGGTTTAAAAAGGAACCGATTACGTTTACGTTTCTTATTTGGGTTTGGGAAGAAGAAAAATTTATGCTCTCCAAAAATGTAAATTAATTAAACGCTCACAAGTACAAAACAGTGATTATCTAACGTCTTCTCACAAAAATCTTTGCCTAGCTTTGGCGGCCAAAACCTGACTAGTGGTGGAAGGCAGAATAGGAAATGTGGCTGCAAGTGCCTTACGCCCTCCCCCACTCTGCCTTGTGCCTTTCCGTTTCCTATCCGAAGAGGTTGTTAAGAAAAAAAAAAAAAAAAAGAGGGCAGAGGGGCATCCGTACTCAAACTAGGCTTTAAAAAAGGAAATCTGCAGGAGACTGAAAAATTATTTCGCCTCCGTTTTATGAAGTCCGGCGTTTCCAATTCCATGGTCTTTCCTTCCACATCAGACAATCCACTCCCAACTAGCAACAGATCTACACTACCGTGGGCTAATGCTGTAGCCTCAAACTCCTTCAGAACTCAACCATTCCAACCAGCGGAAATACCGTTTTCCGAGATTTTTCAGGGTCAGCTCCTCTTGGGGTGGATGGGGAGACAAGACTAGACAAATACAAAAAGTACAGACAAGGAAGCGCAAAACCCGCAGGCCGGCTCAACCACCGGAGGCCAGTCGCCTGCAAACCCGAGGATTACGGATAACTGAAACCCAGACAGGCTGGTGGTCCGTGTCCAGGTCGGAAGGGGAGGCCACACTTTACACATCCGTAAGCTGGAGGAAATGGAAGGCAGTGCAGTAAAATAGAGGAAGATCCGAGAAAGAAGACTGGGAAATCGGCCGGCAAGGCAAGGGCTCAGGAGAGCCGGAACGCCAGCGGCTGCAGCCGCCCAGCCTTGGCCGCAGGGTCTTCCTAGGACAGCCGGACAACAGTAGACAAAGACCCTCCCAACACTCCTTACCACCACACCTCTTTATTGCCTTTGATTTGGCCAAAAACCCTGGTCCCCGAGCCCCGCGCCCGATCCGCACACGCTTCGGGGACTCCTCGGCCGCGGCCGCTGAGCGGAACTCACCGTCAGGCCGGTGCCCAGCACGATCACGTCGTACTCCTCATTCATGGCGGGGGGAAAGGAGAGGATGGAAGATTAGGAAAAGGAGAAAACACAGGGACTCTAGTGTGCGAGGGGGGTTGTAAATCAACCCTCAGGCAACAGTGGAAGAGCTCAGGACGTTTTGGGGACTCAAGAGAAAAAGGAAGACAGGAGAAGTAAAATGGAGCTGAGAAGGAGGCGAACCCGCCCGCCACCTCAGACAGTGAGAGAAGAGCCGAGAAGGGAGGGGGAGGAGAAGAACGGGAAGGGAGGGGGGAGAGAGCCCGGGACCTTCTGCAGACTCGGGGCGGGATTTAGAGAGCGGTGCTCGGAGGGCCATCAATCATGGTCTTCCTTCTCTCTCATTGGTTACTTCTGTCACTCGCCCCACCTTCTTCTCTACCACATCACGCGAGAAGAGGATGGGGCGTAAATAACTTCGGTTCCGGTTGCGGGCGAGTCCTGTTGCCACGGTGGTGGTGGTTGTGGGCTGAGTTGGGGGTTGCTAGTCTTTAGGATCAGTAGTTAGAGTGGAAGCAGTTTAACTACTCTCTCAACTTCTGCAGGAACTCCGTCGTGTTCAAGGTCTCTGAACCTTCCTTCCTCCCTTGGACTTTGAGCCGGTGTGCTGTCTTGTTTCCGGCAGCCACGTGGAACATGAGGCCGCGGGGGTGGCGAGGACTCGACCCAACGGCGAGTGTCTGAGAAAGTGCAAGCAAGCACTTTTTACCGCTTGCGCGTGGCATACGGACTGGGGAAGACCTCCATCCCACTCCCGCAGACCCTACTCGCGGTCTCGCAGATGTGCAGCCTCTTTATTTCATGCGTTGCCTGGGATTGCTGACTGGGGGTTACGTAATGTGGCGTGACACTTGCTGTTTCATACACACAGGATGGGCTCAGTGTGGCTTTTAAAGCAGCAACTGGGTGTGTGCCCTGGATGTTTGAGCAATAGCCGCAGTTACCCCTATTTACGTTATCTGTGGCTTTTGTTTTTTCTATCCTTTTTTCTGGTACCAGAAAAAAAGATGCTGCACATTGGAAGAGTTTGGAAATTACTTGGGTTTTCCCCTATTTCCTATATTCGTGTTTTTAGTTCATTGTGCAGCCTTAGAAAATTAAGGAGAAGGAAACAGAACAGCCTCCTTAAAATAAATAATGGAGTAGACCGCATTTTTTACACCGACTGAGTGCTGTGACTTAGCCAGCTACAAAAATAGTGGCTAAGCAGTATATGAAAGGGTTTGGGCCATAAGCACAGGGAAAACTATACTGTTTGCCCTCCATTTCGCCGCTCCTCTGCCCCTGCGCCTTTTAAAACATTTTCTTTGAATTTTTTTTTCCAAAATTGCAAATCCCAAGCTTTGCTAACCAATAGTAAGTAGGCCAAGATAAGTCTACTCCCTTAAAGATTTATCTACTCGGAAACCAATGGGGGCAGTCAGAATTAATTCATATCTGATAGCAGTGAGTTTTGCAATTTTTGGTTTTGGATGTGAGGAAACGTTTAAGTGAACGCTTGTATTCTCTTGACCCAAACAGAAACTGAGGTTTACTGGACAAGCAGCCTTCTAGACAGGTCATTTACCTAAAAGTATGAATACTTTTTTTCGGCCTGTCATACCAACCCTCTATTATTTGCGGGCAATAAATCTTTATAGGAGGAGATGCCCATCTTTCCCTAAGAAGGGCTGGTGCTTTCCAACTACCACTGGGGCCCCTTAGGTACTCAGTAAAAACTAATACTCATTGTCTGCCAAGTGAGAAACGACTGATAGACTACCTTGCAGGTCTTAGTGCCTTAAAGCAGTTCCTGAGTTCTGACTGCCAAGGGCACCACCTGTGGATTAGAAATGCAACCTTGTATACCGACACCTGAGCTCTCAATAAAGATTCTGTATTTTCTTCGAGATAGGCTCACAAATAGAAATAGTTAAGAGCTTACAAATTTAATCATGGTGGACAGAACTTCCTTCGTGTATAAAACAAATTTAAAACTTTTGGAAGGAGGGAGAAGAAAGCATCTTCAATTTACTTACAAACCTTAATTGAATTTTTTTTTTAAATAGAATCAAGTGGAAAGTTTACCAGACTCTTGAGCTAATTATACAACAGTTGATGTAACTGATTTTTCCATTTACTAAAGAGATGATATCTAAGAAGGTCCTGCTCTTGTTTTGTCCATTTTCAAGTAATCAAGTAACTATTATCCAACTAGTATGAAATACCCACTAAAACAAACTGATACCAATAAAGAACTTTTTTCATATGTTATCAATGGGCTGTGGAAATTGAAGAATTATACATTGTTATCTTTTTAAATTTTTTTCCCTTTTTAAATTGTGATTTTATTGAAAGTGTACAGAAAAGTTGGATTTTGATTCATCATTGCACATTTTCCTCCCTACTCCATTCACTTTAAAAAAAAAATTATTCATTGTTGCATAATGTCTTCCTCCCCCAGTCCACTTGCTATGCAACTCTTATTAAAAAGGGTTGTCATAAATAATGCCTAATCATATATTCCTTTTAAACAGTTTTCCCCCCTCATCTGTTCTAATTCAGGGTTCATTATCCTCTCTTTCCTTAGTTTCCTTCCAACCTCTATGTGAGTTCTATTTTCTGACTGTGGTGTTAATGCAGTATTTGTCTTCTGTGACTGAGATAATTTCACTCAGTGTAAGGTCTTTCAGGGTCAACCATGTTGTGTAATATTTTTTTAGTTCCTTGTTTTTCAGTACTATGTAGTATTCCATTCTGTAAGTATAACATAGTTTTTCTATCCATTCATTTGTTGATGGGCACTTGCATTGCTTCCATCTTTTTGCTATTGTGAACAATGCAGCAATAAATATGGATATACATAAATCTGTTTGGGTGGTGACTCTTGTTTCTTTAAGGTATATTCCTAGTAGTGGAATTCCTGAGTCAAATGGTATTTCTATTTTTAACTTTTTGAGAAAGCGCAATATTGCCTTCCATTGTGTTTGTACCATTTTATACTCCCTCCAGCAGTGAATAAAGGTTTCACACTCTACACAACCTCACCAGCATTTGTTGTTTGCTGCTCTATTGAACTTTGCTATTGTTACTGAGGTAAGAGGATATCTCATAGTTGTTTTTATTTGCATCTCTCTGAGAGCTAGGGATTTTGAACATTTCTTCAAGTGTTTACTTGCCATCTGAATGCCTTTTTTGGTGAAATGCCTGTTCATATCCTGTGCCCATTCTGCAATTGGGTTGTTTACCTTTTTTCTTGTTGAAGTCCTGGAGTATACTATACATTTTAGAAACGAGTCCTTATCAGATATATCATTACCAAATATATTTTCCCAGTCTGTGGATTTCCTTTTTTACCCTTTTGGGGTTGTTTCTTGTGCATAGGGATATGATTCTTAGACGGTCTCATTCATCTATTTTATTCTCTCCTGGTTGTAGGTGCATTTTGCTATCTTTTACATGAAAACTATTTCAATAATATTCAGATAGAGTTACTGAAAGACTTAAAAGCATTGTTGTTGTTGATTGCCTTCAAGTTGAAGTTCATAGCGGCCCTATGAACAAAAGGCCCAAAGCCCCTCTACAACTACTGACATTTATCAAAGTTCATAAAGTTTCTGGAGGCATGTTATTTAGGAAGTGGATGCCACTCCTGCTTCCAATAAAGGCCTTAGGGTAACGGAATTTAATTTAGGACTGCATTGTGGTGGGTTTATTTTTCCAAAATGGTTCTTACAGCCATTGAGTTTTACTTTGTCACATTGATAGGTGGGATCATGCAAATAGGGCATGTTAGTGTAGCCACAAAGAGATTGGCTGGTCTTACCATTAAATAGAGTGGATTCAGCAACAGAAATTGGGAATCTTTAACAGCAACAAAAAAGAGGAAACAGCAATGTCATTCCAGGACAGAGATTCCTGGGGCAGTCAGACTGGAATATACACAAGAATAGCAGCAACTTCAGCATATAACCAGAGACCAACAGGAGACAGGGCTGACTTGGGACTGCTGCTCTACAGAGCCAGAGTCAGAGACCTTCACCCAAGCTTAATGGTGGACTGAGATAAGGCACTATAACTGACAGGTATAAGGGAACTTTGTAACACTGACCTGAGCTGTGAAGCTGAAGGTCAAAGGGCCTGTGAGCACACTTGAGAAGCTAAAATATTGAGGGATTATATACTGCTGCCAACCTGAATTATAACCTGTTAACTTCTCTAATTAAGCATTTAACCATGAGTATGATTCTGTGTATAAAGTCTGTGTTGTCATTGCAGTGGACTTCAGGCCTAGAATAACAGCAATATTCATGCTGGAATTAGTAGAAGTAAGTGTTTGAAAACCCTATGAACACTAGAGGAGTGAGGATAGTTCTAGAACAGGGTTCAGATCTTTTGCTCATAGGATCATACTTGACTTTAACAACAAGTATGGGAATTGGTTTTGTATTGTGGATACTTGTGGTGGGTAGTAGACATCAGACTCGTCATCTCCACACTGTCCTTAGTCTTTTTACAAGGACAAATAACAATTCAAGTCAGAAATTATGAGAATGGCATAGGATAGGACAGGAGAGGGTTCAGATCTGTTGTTCATAAGGTCGTTAGTAGTACTATGGCGCCTAACAACAGCAATAACCATTCTCAGTCCCATCACTTGCACTGAAGTTTAATTTTTGTTTTGTTGGCAACATAGATCCTATGGGAGTCTCTGGTGGTACAAATGTATGTAGCTGCTAACTGGAAGGATAAATGTTAACGTCCACACAACCTTGGAATCTGAAAAAAAAAAATTAAAAATCAGCCATTGTAAACCATGAAGCATAGTTCTACTCTAGCACATACAGGGTCAACACGAGGCAGAGTTAATGGCAACTGGTATAGAGATTCTTTAAATTCAGACTCATATCTAGCAAGTCAGAACTGACTCATAGCTGTTGGGGTTAGAAACCTCTGTTGGGGTTTCTAAAGCTGTCCAGTCACTCTGGATATTGCCCATACTTCTTGCATGGAGTCACAGGTGGATTAAATGACCATAGAGACACAGCCTTTGTGTTAGCATTGCAAATCCCTACGATGAGTCCATC